GAGATGGCTTGTGCTCTACCCCCAGGCTGGACCCTCTGTCTCTCTAAATACTGGGATCAGCTCCCAGGAAGCAAATAGCATTGCTTTGCTTAGAGGGTCTTAGTGGGAGCCTTGTGCAGAAGCTGGTTATAGCCAACAAGCTCATCTAAAACTTGCCTTCTGAAGCAGCAGGTGCTGGGTGTCACTAAGTTGGGCATATCCTGCTTCCCTTCTTGCCCCTCTGGGTAGGGGTGGAACTCTTGCTATAAGCTGTAGTACAGGGTACAAGACAATAGAATAATACCACATATTGCTCATTTGACTATACTTTCTCCTCTATAATTAGTTTCTAATTTGTGTAGGTCTATCCCATGTCACCAAATGGGAAAAAAATAAGAGGATGAAATTGCAAAGCCACTGAAGCAGTTAGGCAGCGTCTAGGAACACTCAGTAATATAACTGATACAGAAAGAGATCTCTGTTGTACACCAGATAGGCACTGGCATGACAAAGGAAACGCTGCCATTCAGTTTGAAACTCATTAAATGAGCAAATACAAGACGTTAGGTTTTTGGTACATGCAAACCCTACCTACCAGGTGTAAGCCAGACAAGCTTTACAAGCTTTCTGTTTTATCAAACCCTGTGCCTGTCGTCTGGGGGCAATGACAAATATACTTGCATAGTTACCGAACTAATTTTGGATTGGTAAGGTTCCTGAACATGTGAAAAAAATACTTTCACTTCTGTTAGAGCAAGCAGAGCTGCAAGGTAAGACCGCTGCGTGCTGCTTGCTTTGCTTGTTCTGATGCACCGCCTAAACAGTTGAATTTGGGACAGATTTGAACAGAAATTCACAGGAGTTTTTTAAGGGAGAGGAGGAATTTGGGGGTGTACCGAGGACAGTTCTCCCATCCAATTTCAGTTTCCAACTAGGCAAACTGATTGGATCTACCCTGAACAGAATAAGTGAAGACCACTGTAAGCCGGTGAGAAGTTGCAGGCTCTTCCTAGTGGTGGCAATGGCTCAAGGTAAGAATGCTTCTGTAAGGGCAGCTGCAAGGGAGCTTCCTCTTGATTTTCCTCCCTGGAATTCCCCTGAACCAGTAGCTTTGCTGCTGCAACTGCCCAGGATTGTTTCCTTCTTTCTGTTTTCAGTTTCTGTAACCACTGAGCAATGGTCACAGCTCTGCTGACCTCCTCCTGAAGAAAAAAAAGAGCAGGAACTGTCCAGTTTGTCCAGGTCTGTTCTTCCTTACCTTTCAACATACTGTTTTTGTCATGATAAATTCATCCCGTTATGCCTTTTCTGGATGTTACGAAGCACGGTGTGTCAGCATCCGTGCCAGTGTTGCTTGACTCTGTATTAAGACGAAGGCTGCACTTAAGGTGGTAAAGTTTGGGATGATTCGTAGCGTTTGTTTTGTAGGTCGCTGTGTTCCTTGGTAGAAAGTTTGCAGTCATTCATTTTGGGTTTTAGGAGGAATATAACTTATTTTGCACGTGTTGATTGAAAGCGAAACTGAGGAGCAGTGGAAGAAACTGGCCAATTTCCAGTTTTTTTTTCTTAGCTCTGACAGGAAATACTCAAATTTTATTTTCTCTTTCAGAAGGGCTGTTGTTCTGTCTCAGTCTCTGAATGCAGAGGTAGTTTTCTGCTAAACAGCTCATAGGCAGGTGCCGCGGTGTTTAGTCGTGCTTCTCGGATGTGCCGTGAGAGGTGATGCTGCCTATGAGAAGGTGGGTTCTACTCTCAGGGCTTTTACAACCCTGACATCTACAGGATAACAGGAACTGGCCAGAGCTCAACTCTGCAGTGAGTGCAGCTACACTTCTTTAATCGGTTGTACGCTTATCCTTTTCACTGAAAAGCAGAAGGAAGATCTTTCTGGCTGATATTTACATGTCGCTTCTCTAATTTGTTTAAGCACAGCTAAATGGGAATGTGACAGCTCTTTTGCTACATCTTTTCTTCTCTTTTAGACTATAAAGCTCAAGGAAAACAGTTGCACAGGCAATAGATTTGTA